AGAAGTGTTGGCCAATTAGATAAAAAGATTAGGTAGTTACGTGTGTCAGGCTTTCTCTCCCCCATCCTTCAGAGTATCACCTTTACACTTCATTCATTGGGTATTTGTGGGAATGGCAGGTGATTTGATTTGGTTCCTCATCTTGGGAAATGGCCCATCAGGCGTAGGTCCACCAGGTGACACATCACCTACACATCTGACTAAAGGTCTGCTCCTCCCCACCTCATAGGGAAGCTGGATAGGTCTGATGTGCTGGTTCTAGCTTGGAAGCTCTGGGTTTTCTGGAAGTTACACAGCAGTCTGTGCTTCTGTCTGCACTCTGAGCTTGGTTGTAACGACAACCACTGCCCTGCCCACCCAGTGACCACCCCACCCTCAGGGCCCTTGCAGGTAGTGAATGGGTGGGCAGAGACACCCTAGCAGCCATCAGTGCCTCTTCCTTCCTTTTTGAAGGATCTGATGCTGCTGCCGATGAGGGCTACTTCATCTATTAAACCCAATACACTTGTCGCAGCTGCTAAGCCCCCGTAAGCCGCCGGGCGCCGTGTTTGTGATGGGACTGACAGTGCATGGAGGAGGCTGATTATACACGATTCCATTTCGCGGGCCCAGCAATGTAATTTCACAGGGCGATCAGCGTTTGCATGTAATAGCAGGCTGTGCTGAGGTGTCAGAATATTAAAGGCGCTAATGGCAAAGCTCCCTGTTACACAGGGGGCCACCCGCCGCGCCTACAGCAGGGCTGCGCGGCAGGCCCGTCGCAGATGGCTGGCCACTAAGCTAATGGGGCAGCAGCCAAGGCAGGCAGAGCCACGAGAGAAGAGAGCCAGCCGGGAGCAGCTCGGCACCTGCTTCCCTGCGCATGGAAATTACAGCAGCCCAGGGGAAGGGAAGTGTGCGTGCCTGCCTGGCACAGGGCTGCGGTGTTGTGGTTTGGTAGACCCGGCATCTTTCACCCCAACTCCACAGGCCCTGGGTAGATTCGGGTTCCTCAGTCATCCTTCCACCTGCCCCACTCTTTGGCCAAGAAGTCACAGCTGGGCAGGTGCAGCTGGAGAAGTGGCACCCCAAGAATTTGGAACCAGTGTGGGAAAGGGGCTTGGGCATAGGCTGTTGGTAAGAGCTCTTACAACAGATCCCTGCCCTCAGCAAGGTCAGAAAGCTTCTGGGTCCTTTACCTCCACACCCTGCAGGCTGGCAGGAGAGAGGGAGGGAGCAGGGATAGGATGCAGGCGGGAGAAAGGGGACGGATGATAATTAGGCCCTTTGATTGATGCCAGTGTTGCCATTGGAACACAGAGCTGGGAGGCAGTACTTCAAGATGTGGCTCTTTCTGTCCTTGTTGGCTGCCCCAGCCACACCCAAGCCCTTGCCTGTGCTCTCACCAAGCTTGCTCCTGCCTTCTCCTTTGTCCTTGCTGTGTCTCCTGCCTGGAATGATGTCAAACCTACCCCCTGCCCCCCAGCCCTCCACTACCACTCTGTCCAGGAAGCTTTCCTAGCTGCCTCCAATCCCATGCAGGCCTGCTTGTCTCCATTGTCCCTGTGGGCAGCCACAGGGGACAGCCTCCCTGATCCTCCTATTCTGATGTTTCTCTAGGTCCCATACTTGACCTCTCAGCTAGAGTCTCTGAGACACAACCCATGTCACCCTGTTCTAAGCTGGGTTCCTGGGAAGGCTCTGTTCAGATTCATAGAGGGATGTAGTCTCCCAGAGGATGTCTGGAGGGAGTCGGGAGTGGAAGGAGGTGCTGAGTAACCTGGAGGGTAGTCTGGTGCCTTTGTGGGTATGCACACTTGATGGTGTATGTATCTGATGGGGAGGGACTTAAGAAGTGAGTGCTGGGGGTGGTGAGCATGTGCGTACAGGCAAGCAGGTGCGAGGCTCTGGACCACACACTGGTAGGAACACAGATTGCTATAGGACCCTGTGTTCTCTGGGTGGCGCTCTCTCTGTTGGCTGCGGCTGAGGGGTACCTCAGATGCAGGAGCTGGAGGGGGCTTGTGGTGCTGTGCCTGTGGGGATTCCTTGAGGCTGGTGGTCACTTCTGAAGGTTCAGCTCCGCAAGGATGTGTGGCAGTGCCTGGGGGAGACATGCCAGGGTTCTCAGCAGGGGCAACAGGGGAAGAGCCCAGGCTGAAGGAGAGCAGTTTTAATTAACCATTTTTAATATCATTTTGGACTTTGGCTAGTATGTGAAGGCCCCGCTGGAAGCAGCATTTGTAAAAATTAAATCCCTCTTATTAGGAGCTTGGCAGACCCATGTGCACGTGCTGCCCCCTTCCCCCCGCTCGTGCCCCCCTGAGGAAGTGCTGGATGAGGCCATGTCACGGCAGCAATTGGTTATCATGCCTTATCTGGGAATAGGAAACTGTGCGCATGACACCCGCGGCCATGCTGGAGACGCCAATTCATCTCGCCCTCGCTCTGACAAGCTAGACTGCCCTTCCTGAAAGGCATCCGTCAGGCGGGACCGGGGCCGCTGCCTTGCCTGCTGCCTCTGCTTTCCTGCCTAGGCTCCAGCTTGCCCTGGTTCAGCCAGGCCCAGCCCGGTCCTCCTGGGCTCTGCCACCCACCGCCCCCCTTCCACATGTCCCACTCTAAGGAAGATCTTGGGGAGTCATAATTATAATAATAATCTAATCACAGTGACGCGTCAGGGCAAGCGTCTAATGTTATCTGAAGTGGTCTTCCCGCTTAGCTGCGATAAGACTCAGGATGACGTGCAGATAACGTTGAGCTGCCCTGTCCCCAAGCCGTGAGCAGAGCAGAGGGGCCTCAGCAGCCCGCTGCCCGCCCGCCGCTTTAAGCCGGGAAGCGGCAGCACCTGCTAATGCAAGTGTTTAATATTTGATGGGCTGGGATAAAGCAGGATCACCTTCGAATTGAATTGAGTGTCAGCCGAGAATCTATTACTGAAATTCGGGTGTGATTTGACAGCAAAGTAGACGATGTTATTCTTCACTAGTTACTGCAATCTTCTCCCCGACATCACTTAAATATTTTTTTCTTTGCTTGAGTAAACACACATTATCCTTCTTTTTTCCCCCTTCCTTCCCTTTTTCCTTTTTAGAGGGGAAAAAAACCCATCCAGCTCGCCTTCTCCAGGCTGATAGGGTAGATTGTTATTTCTTTATTTGTCCTATTAAATGGAATTTCTGATCGTTTAATCCGGCCTTTGTAAGTGATTTTAAAGTACTTGAAAGCCGGCCCGCCACTGCTCTCTGGCCCACTGCGCTCCAGCCATGGCCCTGACCACGCTCAGCAGCTCTTCCAGCTGTGCACCACCCACTGGCTGCTTTCCCTTGCTTCTGCCTGCGTTCCCCCCCGGCTCTGCCCTGGCTCCAAGCCTGCGTTCTCTCCCCTGTCCTTGAGCCTCACACTCAGCCCCCGATTTGTGGGTTCCGCTGTGGCCTGGGAAAACGTGGGAGGGCTGACTGGGAAGTTGAGTTGTGGCTGGTACCTCCATGTCGAGGTACTGAGGTTGGGTACCCACAGGGCTGAGGCTTGGTTCTTGCAGCTGGGATGGAAGGGTACCTGCCCTCTGCCCAGCCCCTTGGCCTCAGCACCAGCTCTGTGCAGCCTCCTGACCCGGTGTTGGATCCTCCTCACCATGAGGGCGCCTGTGATGGGATGGGGACCTCTGGGCCAAGGGATGGGTATGCACACTGCAGTGCCTGTCTGACTGTGGCTGCAGTCACCTTCGTTCCATTCCACCAGTGTGGCCCCACTACCTAGCTTCTGGAAACTCCCCCAAGCTACATTCCCGATGACCACATCCCATGTGCTTTCTGCCCCTGGGAGAAGGGCAGCCTGGGATTCCAAGACTTCAAAGGTGAGGGGAAGGGTAATGTTTGAAGGGCCAGCCAGCTACACAGCCCCCTGGTAGAAAGAAGCCCAGGGCTTTGCTCCCTATCAGAGACTCCCAACTCCCACTGGGTACCCCCTAGCTGGGCTGAGCAGGAATTAAATTCCCACTGGGCCACTTAATAGCATTCTAACCCTTGTAAGTCTCTTCTTTCTGGGCCTCAGTTTCCTCATCTGTGCTGTCAAGTCAGTTGTGCCTGTAAGGGACTGTGACAAAAGGGGCCTTCCCTATCCTACCATGTACCGCCCCCCACCAGGGAGGCTGGTGGTGGCCAGATGGCGCAGAGTATGGGATGGAGGGGGGGCAATGAAGTGCTAGGGGCCTGAGCAGATCGATGCCCCCAGCACTTCCTTCCCCAACCCCAGGAAAACAATTAAGTACAGATCGATGGGTGGCCGCTTTGAATATGCATAAGTGAGCACTTGACCTTCAGCAGAGACCTGTTCCCCCTACCACACACATTCTCACACACACAAACACACACACACACACATACACACACACACACACACACACACATTCTTTTCATATGTTCCCCTCACAGCTGCTTAAGACCTTACCTCTCCTCAGCTGAGCCCACACATGGCACCTAGCCTTTCATAGCCTGGCCTGCCTCTCAGTCTAAAGCAATTAGACCATGGGCAGGTAGTTGGCTCCCTCTCACTTCAGTTTTCCTATCTGTAAAGTGACATTTAGATATGTTGGTCTCCAAGTCCTTTCTGACACCAGGCTAATGACCAGCAATACTGTGGGGGAGGGGCCCAGCAGAGTGCTGGGTAGGCTAAAGAGGCAGAATCTAACAGGGCTGCCTGGTGAAGGGGATGCCCCATTAACAGGATGGTCCTGATAAAGGAGGGTCTTAGTAAATGGGAGCTCTCTAGAGGAGCCTAGCAAGGGGGAACCCACAGGGGTTGGGAGTCTCTGATGGAGAGACACCTACGACAAAAGGAGCTCTGAAAGAGGAAGGGGTTTTCTGGAGGGGGTCCTAGAGGAAAGGGGCCCCCATGACGGGACTCTCATGAAGTGACATGATGAGAGTAAGCCCTTAGTGGGAAGATTTGGCTGGAGGGTGGAGGTGGTGAGTATTGGGGATCCGAGCCTCTGTTAACCATTCTTGCCTCCTGTCTTCCAGGCTTACAGCTTCGCCATGGGCTGCTGGCCCAAGAATGGACTTCTAGACATGAACAAGGGCCTCAGCCTGCAACACATAGGCCGGCCCCACAGCGGCATTGGTCAGTCCCTCCACATATACCCCTGGCAGCTCAGTCAGTCCCCTGCCCGCATGCCCCAGTCCCCTGGTACACAGAGGGGTTCTGTGGCTCATTCTGTGCTCTAACGGGGTGCTTTCCATAGCTGGGGGGAGAGGGGAAGGAGGGTGGAGTGAGGGGAGAGTGTAACCAGACCATTGGAAAAGATCTCTCAAAACACTGTTTAGGAGGAGACTGGGGTCTGGTCTTTGGGTGGGTCACAGGTGGCCTTGGATTCAGGCCAAGATGTCCCTGGCCCTTCCTGCATCTCTGGTGGATGATGTCCTCAGAGGGGTGGGCACATGTCAGCTTACCCACCCCCATGGAGCTAGAGGAGGCTGTTTAATATTGTTTCAAGTCTGTGGCTACTAAACTGGGCGATCAATGGGAGTTAAGGAGATGAATTATTTAAACCTCACCAGCTTTTAATTAGTCGGGGTCCTTCTGACCGATGGCTCCGTCCACAGGGTATTGACTCCCCCGCAGGAGCAGCAGCCTCCATTGAGCGATGCCTGGGTTGGGAGGGGCCACTTGGGGTACCAGGCGGTATGCACCCTCAGAGGGATTCCTGCCTGCGAGGAAGCTGGAGTGACTCTGCTTCTAGGCATTGGAGGCTCTGCTAACTTATGATATGGGTGGTGTGTGTGTGTGTGTGTGTGTGTGTGTGTGTAACAATATATCTGTGTACATTGTCCTGAGGGCATGTATCTGTATACTGAAGCAGCCATCAGCCTGTGTGTGTATCCACCAGAAGGTGTGTCTGTTCATTTCTGTGTTTGTGATTTTATGTGTGTGAGCACATGTCATGCAAATGCTTTCAAGCAGGGTACCTGACAAGCATAGGCTTTGTTCCAGGTGGGGAGGAGCAGTGGCGGGGTATTCCTGGGAGGTGTTATGACATTATCATAACCTATGTACCTTTGGGGAGCTATGGTGGCGGAGAGGACTGGCAAGATACACCAAAAGGACCCAATCACCTGTTACATGCTAGCCCTTTATCCTTTTCACAGACATCACTGGTGCCTAGTGGGTACTGGGCATGCTGAGTGGAAGTGCTTGTCCTTAGGAAGGTCACATACTAGGAGGAGATAGAGATTGAATGGGGTACCCAGGGTACTGAGGGCTGTCATAGGAACACCCAGGCTACCCCAAGGGAGGATTCCCTTGTTCTCAGATGTCAACGTGACTTCTACGGCTTTATTTACATCTCCCTGACCTCAGGAATGCCCCTCATCATTCTTGCTGGGACACCCCAAGGCTCTCGTGAGGTCCCGGGGGGAAGAGGAAGCAGTTAATAGGCCTAGAGAATTGGGAATGCCCCACAGCAGCTGGTGTTCCCTTCCACAGGAGGTATTCCATACAACCTAGAGAAGACCCCAAACCTAGCAAGGTGATATGCTTGGGAGGCCAGCAGGGAGCTTCCTAGTGAAGAAAACACTTGAGTCAGGAGATCCTTGAAGGATGAGTAGGAGTTTTGTAGGTAGAAAAATCGGGGAAGGGGTTTCTCTTAAGGAGCAACTGCGCATACAAAAGCACAAAGGCATGTTGAAAACAAGTTAGATGCCTACAAGTAGTTTCCTGTGATTGGAGCAGGAGGGACATTTGGGTTAGGGAATAGCTGGGAAAGAAGTGGGGAAATAAGCAGGTCTTGAATGCCAGGTTAAAGGGTTGGCTCTTTTCATGAGGTTTTAAGGAGACAGGAAGTTTGTGAGAGAACAGCACTATCAAAGCTCTTATTCAGAATTCATGAGGCAGTGTATGCTGCACAAACTAGTTCTTAGTAGATGCTTAGTAAACTCTCTGGGATGGGGCAGCTGAATGAGCAAGTGAGTAGATGAATCACTGGGATGGGAAAGGGAGGAACCAGAGAATGAGGATCCGTGAGAAGACTTGTGCTGGCCCAGGCAGGGAGGGACTGCAAATAATGGAGTCTGGCTGGTAGGAGGGACCAGTGGGACCGAGTCAGTGGGACTACCCTGCTTCTGTGGATGTGTCCCAGGTGTGTTTGTGAGAGGAAGAGGCTCCTTCTTCCCACTCTGTTACGACTCCTGAGATGTTCCTCTCCTCTTCAGGGAAGAAGGTTTTTCCATCTGGGTGGGCCACACGGGACAATCCAAGGATATGAGTCACAACGGACTAAGGGCTTTGGAACCAAAGGGAGTTCTGGCTCTACCAGCCAGAGCTCTGTGACCCTAGACAAGGGAGAATGCCAGTGCCTCTCAGGGCTGTTGGGGAGGTTCAATAAAGCTGCCTGTGTAAAGGACTTATGCGGTGTCTGGCCTGGCACACAGTGGGTGTTCAAGGAGTCCCCTCTTCTGTGGCCCTGGCAACACCAGGGCCTCCCTAGGGCACTGGGGGTTCCTGGCACTGGGTCTTTGTATCTCTGAATGTAGAGGGCTGCCCTGCCAGCTCCTAGCTGGCTCTGAGGTGTGGGTGAGGGTGCTTGGAGGGGAGGGAGGATGCAGGGCATTAATTGGGCTGGGAGAGGCGGGGAGGGGAGGCGTTGGTTTTGAGCAGTGAGGTTAATGGCCCTCGCGCCAAAGAGACAGCTTTAATGAGCTTCAGCTGGCGGTGCCCCGAGTTACTGTGCGTGCTAAAAGGGTCGCGCTGTAAGAGTTTGATGTGGACTGTTTCCCAGCCCTGGGGTCAAGGGTCAGCTCCTGTCACTGGCCACTCAGGCTGGTCCTCAGTGACATAGTGCTAATTAACTGCGTGAGGAGCTGCCAGCCTGGAGTGGGGAGTGGTATGCATATTGGGAGTGGGGGGGCGGCATTAGTGATGCTGGCCAAGGGTCCCTCAGATCCCAGAGCTTAGTCATCTCTGGGATGTGCTTGGCTCTCCCACAGTGCTATGTTGGGAGGGAGGAGGGGGGCATTGGCTCTGTGTGCAAATCACCAATGACCCTAGGCCCTAGAGAGCTCTCCTGAGCCTCTTTTCTAAGGTATGCGTGGCAGGGAGAGTTTGTTAGGCCTAGCTGGTGGGGACTCCTGCTAAGGTCTGGGTGGTGGTTGGCCCTGAGAGAGCAAGGAGCAGTATGCTAGAGGGTGAGGCAGATGGCCCGGGGCTGCAGGGTAGGCTGTAGGAGGGGAGAGGGCCCACTGGGATGGATGTTTGTGGCTGAGCTGTTGAGGAGGAGCCATGGGAGCCTCCTGGCAGAGGAGTGACCTGGTCAGAGATGGGCTTCAATTAGAGCGGTCTGAGAGTTTGTGCAGGGAGGACTAGCGAGGAGAAACTGCAGAGGGAAAGGCTTGATAAAGTGCGTGGATGGTAAAGTGATAGTTAATTCAGAGCCAGCAGTAGCCATGGGAATGGAGGTAGTGGACCGGGTCAGTGTAGGTTTACTTTGCACCTTTTATGTGTCAGGAACTGTGATAGTTGTATTGGTGAAGATGATAGAGTGCCTTGCCCCCACAGAGTTCACAGGTATGGTTGTCAGGACAGACACAGTTGGCCCTATAGGTAGGGTAAGGGATGGAGGCAGTGGAGCTCCAGGCAGAAAGAGGGTGTGGGGGAGCTGTCAGCCTGGCCTCTTAGTCAGGAGAGGAATACTTTCTGCAGGAGTGGTGGACTTGGCCTTGGGAGCCTGGGGAACAGGGTGGTATAGAGCGGGTTGTGGGTGAAGAGGGACTGCATGTACGTAGAACTGCTGACGTCCATGTTAGCAGTGGGCTCTTTCTACATCCTTGGTTTGGACCAAAGGCTCTGAGGCAGAGCAGCCTCCACAGGGGACTTCTGAGAGCTGTGTCGTGATTTTGTTTCTGCAAAGGGTCAGCAAGGGATTCACATTATTTGGGGGTACTTTTTATTAACTAATACAATTTTCATACCAGTTTTATAGAAGGCAGGCATTATCATTCCCATTTTATAGGTTAGGAAGCTGAGATTGACCTGAGTTAAGTGACTCACCTGAGGTAACACAGCCAGTTGAATTGAAGAGCCAGGACTCAAACCCAGGTCCATCTGAGTGCAGAGTCTGTGTTCCTACCACTGTGCTGAACTAGGAAGCACCTTTTTGGTGTCGGGCTTTGTGCTCTCAACAGAAATGATGAGGAAGAACACAAGCTCACTTCCATCATTTCCCTCAGTTAATGTTAAACATACAGGCCTTGACAAAGCCTTGGTGGCAGCAGCTGAGGAAGAAAGGAAAGGAGGCATTGCAACCCTTTCACCTCTGCTACAGACCCTCAGAGCCAGAGTCTTTCAGGATCTGACAGTTATTATTCTAATTTGTTTGCTGTCCACCCGCCCTGGACCGGGAGAATCCCACCCATTTTCTAGAGGCCACCTCTTCTGGGACTCTTGCCTGGCCTTCCTAGGGTGAATGTACAGAATACACCCTTGGACCTCACTTCTAGTTTGTGGGGGTGATGTTCAGGCCCTACGTATTTGATCTCTCTAACTAACAGCAGGACCCAGGCCTTCTTCCCTTCTTCCTTTTTGGAAATCTGCACTGGAAATGTTAGTAAAATTTCACCTGTTGTTGGGACATGGAGGCCCAACAGATTGCTGATTTCAGCTGGCTGGGAGAATAACTGGACCTTCCCTGATGCCTCACTGGGTGGTCCTTTCCTCCTAGTTCCTTAGCCCCTCTGTTCAGGTCCTCAGGAGGGATGGCCAGACACTAAGTGGGCCCTCAGGAGCCTGTTGCCCGGTGTGGTTTGGCAAGGAGCTGGGCTGGCAGGTGGCAAGGTGGGGGCCTGGCCCAGGGGGGCAGTACTGGCCTGTGGTCTCCCCTGAAGGAGTAGGGTGTCTATCAAGAGTCCAGTCAGAGCGCATTAGCTCTGTGACATGGATCTCATTAGCTCCCGTGAGAGGTGTCACTGCAGGAGAATCGTTGGCTCAGGGAGACGCTTGTACCAAAAGGAAGAAAGGACAGTGACAGCCTTTTCTCTGCCGCCTCTGCCGCCACGCTCCCTGGGCCGCCCGCCCTCCTCCTCGTGGGGGGGTGGGGGTGCTGGCTAATGAGCTCGTCTACAGTACAGCTT